AGCAACCCTGTAGGACAGAGTAGGACCGCCCTACAGGGTTTCCAAGGCCGTCAGTCTCTACGGAAGCACACTGCCTCATCTTTCTCCCACAGAGGCTGGCAGGTTCAAAACCACCAACCTTTTGGTTAGCAGCCGAGTGCTTAACTACTGTGCCACCAAGTCCTTAATGCTATAATAAATGATGATGGTTAAATACAATCAGTATTTACTAAAATGAATCATATATATAAATATTCAGTAAAAATATCATCAATATTTGAGAAAAGATGTGTTCGGTAAAACATGCCATAAGAGAGAGGCCCTGCAGGCACAGTGGTTAAGTGCTTGGCTGCTAATCAAAAGGTTAGCAGTTCAAATCCATCAGTTGCTCTGCTCTATGGGAGAAGGATGAGGCAATCTGCTTCCATAAAGATTACAGCCTTAGAAACCCTATGGGGCAGTTATACTTTGTCCTACAGGGTCACCATGAGTCAAAATGGACTTGATGCCAGTGGGCTTGGTTTTTTTTTGGTTTACACCACAAAGCTCTGTATCAAATCCCTCCATATTCCCTGGAATTGATGCAGACTCATTAGCATCTTCTAGACAAGGTCTGGCTTGAGGAACTTTCCCAGCGTCCCCTTAGTGACTTGAGGATGAACTTACCTTTGAGCGTCACCCAGTACTGTCTCCACTTCCTCCGGGCCACCAGCTCCAGCTTTCTCTCCTTCTGCAAAGTAACAAGGGGCTTGAAGAACAGCCACCCAGCTTTGCGGACCACTCCCTGCTCCTTCTCAAAGAGGAGATCCAGCTGCTCCAAGGAGCCGAGGGACTCGCTGCCGGACTCGGCCGTTTCTGTGGACGTCTCTGCGTTCTCTGTGCCGGGCCTGCTCATCTCCAACTCCCGCATGAAGTTCTCGTAAATGCTCTGCTGCAGGGGATCGCTGCCGATGGCACTCGTGGACTCGCTCCTCTGAGGCAGGCCCTGCGCCGAACCCCCTGACCACAGCAAAGCTGACAGCTGGGAAGGCACCTGCATGTCCACGCTCAGTCCATCGGAGCGGCTGTCAAAGTCACTGCCCTCCTTGGGCCTGGGCTCCTGCGGGCAACACAAATGACCACTGATCAGAGGGCCCCTAGACCCAAAGCCCCGCTTCCTCAACACAGCACAAGTGCAAGATTTCTTCCTCCTACTCATGGTGCTACAAAGCAAGTTTTATTTTTTTTTCATTTCTTTTTTCTTTTATTTTTTTTTTTTCAATTGTGCTTTGGGTGCAATACAAAGCAAATATGCTTTACATTCAACAGTTCACACACATTTGATTTCACGGCTCCAATTACAATCCCCACCTTCTTCTCCCCTCCCCTCCCCTCCCTGTGACTACTCCCTCCCTCTCCCCTTCTTAACTGTGCATTTCTGTCTGTCCAGTTTTCCCTCATGGGCATACTGCCCCTTTGGTGTCTCATGGCTGATTGCTCTAAGTGGTACATCTCCCTAGGACAGGTGGGTGCGTCACCCAGGGGTAGGTGTTCTGCATGTAGGTCTCTCTACTGCTGGGCTGAGAGCCAATCCACGGAAAGGAGTCCATTTCTGGGCCTGAAGGATAATCCAGGGCCAAGTCTTAGAGGTTCCATCAGTCTCTATCTGAACAGGAGTTCTTTTTTGGAACAAAAATACTCCTTTCATTGTCAAGTCTCAAAACCAGACAGATTTTAGAAATAGTTTTGTCCAACCCAACTTTTCCACTTGGATTAACCCTTCAAGAAATAAAGAAAACAACAATGAATAGCCTAACTCATGCTGAACAGGTTTCAATGGAGCTTCCAGACTAAGACAAAGTAGAAAGAAAAGTCTGGCAATCCATTTCTAAAAGTCTGCCAATGTAAACCTTATGGATCGCAACAGTCCGATCTGCAAACACTCATGCGGATGGTGTGGGACTAGACGGTGGTTCATGCCCTTGTGAGTGAAGTTGCATGAGTCAGGAACCCATTCACCGGCAGCCAATAACAACGTTATTGTTAGTGCTGTGCTTAGCACTGAGAAATTAATGAGCATATTGAAAACATGCTAGTGAAGATTTCTGGAATTAGGTTCCTTGCTAACCATGCACCAACTAACAGTGTTCCAGGGAAGAATTCATGGTCCCATAGTCTGCTTTCCTCCTTGATCATTTTAAACTAACTTAGAAAATCACTGGTTCTGGGAGCTCTGGGAGGAAAATGGAGACTCCATTTTGTTATGTGAAACACCAGAAACATTTCTGGTCTGTCCCAAGGTAAATTCGGTAAATGCCAGTTTCTAGCCAATGGCCCAGGTCTAGCCTTGGAGATTTCTAGCATCTTATTTTCTCAGTTCACACACCCAAAACCATGCAGGGTGTGTCCTTACCCATAACAAACTAGTAACTGTAGCTTTTTTTCCATAATTAATATGCTTTAGTTCATATGGGAAATCCTTTCACTCACTCATATCCTTTTATTTGAAGATCTATTCTATTCTCAGCCCTGGGCATATCAAAGCTATGATACTCCATGTTAACAGTCATTCCACACAAAGCCTGACACAGACAGCTTAAATTGAATTAATATTTTTCTATGAACTGCTACCCCGTTTTAGGGCGAAACACACTGAACACCAAGCCGATCATTCACCAGGTTAAAAACAGGAATGTTCCCTCTACAGTCTAGATTAGAAGACCAGTGATTCAAGAACAGTAACTTTCATGCAGGCCACTTGTCGATAAACAGCAGAAACAAAATACATGCAGCAGAAGTGGCCTGAACTGGGCTCAAATTCATTGATTTTCCAGACTGATAGCTTGTTGTTGTTGTTATGTGCCGTCGAGTCAGACCCAACTCATAGCGACCCCTCCTTGGGTTTCCGAGGCAGTATCACTACGGAAGTAGATTGCCCCATCTTCCTTCCAAGGAGTGGCTGGTGGGTTTGAACCGCCAGCCTTCTGGTTAGCAGCCAAGTGCCTTAGCCACTATGCTACCTTAGATTAAGGTAACTGCTGAGACTGCTACACACACTCCGGAGTTTGACATCACTCAGGTCTGCTCGGCAGCTCTTTCCTCATCCATTAAAATAAACATGAAGGGAAACTGAGTCAAGGACCACCGAGTCAAGCCTTATTTTGAATATTCCATTGTGCATGGGTCTTTTCTGAGTTTTTTAAGAAACCTTATCTAGAAATCAACTAGTGATCACTTGCTGTTTATAGGGAGACAACCAGGCAATGAGCTGTGGTAGCATAGTGCCTAAGGCACTTGACCACTAACCAGAAGGCTCATGGTTCAAACCCACCAGCCACTCCTCGGAAGGAAGATGGGGCAATCTACTTCCGTAGTGATACTGCCTCAGAAACCAAGGAGGGGTAGCTATGAGTCAGGTCTGACTCAATGGCACATAACAACAACAACCAGGCAGTGGAAGATTACTTTCAAATACCAGGGGTTATAAACAACTGAGCCCAATGTAGTGATTCCTAATGAGAATCTTACAGCCCACTTGTGTTTACACTGCATCCCGTAGTGATATTTATTTATACGCTGATGCTTATGCAATAACAGAGCTACAATGAGTCACTTAGACGGGAAGCTTTCAAAACAGTTCAAGGGTTTTTTTTTTTTAAGTTGTCACTTGCTGTGGCTCTTCAAAAATTCCTAGGAGCTGAAGGAACACATCTCAATTAGCTATGATTAACATGACTTCAGCTACCACTATGACTCTCTGACTCACCTCTAATACCCAGCAGGAGTCAGATGGGCCACTTCAAAACAAGCAAAACCATGCCAGAGGAAGGCATGTAAGTGCCAAACGGAAATCTGACCCCTAGATAGTCTTCTCCTCGTTCCTCTTCCTCGTAAGGGGGATTTCATGCTATTGTGCTAACTTTGAAACCTCCCATCTTAGCAAAGCAAGAAGGGTTCTCCTCCTTAGTAGATGGGGAAAGGCTGTCTTTTTAGCAAGCAGCCCCGACGCTTATACACAGACATGAACATTCCCAGCCTCAAATAGATGTCTAGAGGTGTCTATCTAGAAGTGTCTAAGGCATTTCACTGCTAACCGGAAGGCTGGCAGTTCAAAACCACCAGCCACTCCTCGGAAGGAAGGTTGGGCAATCTACTTCCGTAATGACACCTCCTCGGAAACCCGAGGTGGGGTTGCTATGAGTCAGATCTGACTCAACGGCAGTGAGTTTGGTTTTTTGGTTTCATCTAGAATTCTAATAGCCGGTGACTAATTTTCAGGCTAATAGGAAAGGTCCTTTATCACAAAGTAAACTGTTCATCAGGGGTTCCCATATCTCTGAATAGGCTCAGCTGGAACTCCTGATCCCTGGGTGACAGGTGTGAACCGAGGGGCCACATGGTCTGAAGGTGCTGAGCCGTGTGCCCCCACTGGCCACACTCAGATAATCTTGAGTAATGGTTAACGGAGCCTGATGACCAAGGCCGCACCACTCAACTCCTAGGGAGAAAGGGACACTCTGATCACCATTCCTTACCAACCAGTGCAAAGCATCAAAGTCACACCTGGCCGTTCCTCCCTCGCCATCTTCCCTTCAAAGAAAGGTGCAGAGTGAGAAGCATTACTGCTGTGTGGAAGCTGTAACAGTGCAGCCCTCCAAGACCAGTGAGGGTTTCACTTCACATGGGCCAGAAATTCAGGGTGTCCGTGTTACAAACCATGGCGTTCTGGGGGATGCGTGGTTAAGCACTCAGCTGTAACCAAAAGGTCAGCAGTTTGAACCCACCAGCTATTCTGTGAGAGAAAGGTGAGGCGGTCTGCTTCCATAAAGATTGTTGTTGTTGTTGTTATTTGCCATCGAGTTGGCCCCGACTCCTAGCGACCCCTCCTTGGGTTTCCGAGGCAGTTATCACTACGAAAGTAGGATTGCCCAACCTTCCTTCCGAGGAGTGGCAGCCTTGGAAATCCTACGGGCCAGTCTACTCTGCCCTACAGGTGGCTATGAGTCAATATCTGCTGGGTAGCAACTGGTTTTTATGGATACTCTAAATCTGCTCAGTGATGAACTCTGGAATGCCCATCAGTGCTGCCCACCAAGTATTCCTGGGCCTCCTACAGGCACATGGTAGGATCACCTGACCATCCCCACCCCCCTTTGAAGGTAGGTACAGCCATGTGACTTGCTTTGGCCAATAAACACTAGCAGAAGGGAGGTGTGTCACTTCTGAATGGAAGCTTTAAAAGCCAACACACAATTTTTGTCCTCTCTGCCACAGTGGCTCACAAGGTTTCCAGTGGTAACTGTCCCATCAGCCTGGGGTTCCAGAGAGAAAACAAGGTAGACCAGCAGACCAATGATGAACATGCAGCGTAAGTGGGAAGCAAACGTCAATTTGTCTAAACCTCAAAGATTTGAGGGTTTTCTGTTACCTCAGCATAACTAAGCCTATCCTGACTGATGTAACTAAAAACTTAACCAAGAAGGGATAAGATCTCACATGTCTCACTCCAGCTCAAGTTATATGAAGAGTTGATGTGCCTCAAGCACATATTCTCCTCCAGCATATGTTCTCGTGTGGATTATCACTGATTATTCTGTATTCAGGTGCAAATTCACCAGGGTTGTTAGGGAGCCCTATAAATAAAGAGCTGATTGTCTAACATCACATTTTTAAAAAGACAAAACAAAACTCTAACCCTAACCCTAACCCTTTGTGAACCTGAGTCCTACTGGTAGACAGGAGTTTGCATGCAAAGGGTGTGCATGTGTTTGGTGCCCTGTACTGTTAACAACTTTGCCTCCATGCACGGGCTACATTTTTAAGCATCTAAACCTGATCTTAACTTAAATCATGAAAGAAGAACAAAGTCATGGCCAAAGGAAGTGGCATCTTTGCCTGAAAATGAATCTGGTTCACACGTATGGATGATCAGTTGTGAGAAGACAGCCAAGACAAAAAAAGCTGCTTTCACAGGTCACTCCATAAAAATATTTAAAAGTTTGTAATCTTAATAGTCAATCATCCTGACATAATTAACAGTGGTCTTCAATACTACTTTGGCAATATGGCCAAGTGTAAAAATCACATAGTTGATGCCCATGGAACCCAGACTTTATGGACCACTAAGGCCAGATGAAAACCCCCCTACCACCAAAAAAAAACTATTACCCTGAGGAAATCTTTAAACCTTGAACTGAAACTATCCCTGAAGTCTTCTTTGAACCAAATAATAATTTAGCCTAAGTAGAGAAGAATGCATGCATTCAGCATTATAGTCTTTTAGAGAATGATCTCCATGTGACAAATTGACAATAGCAACTCAAAAGGTTAGATGAGACACTTAGGGAGGCCATGAGTGTGTGTTAGTGATAGTGGAACAGTTTGGGAAAGGTTGTAAGGCAAGGTAGCACAACTTGAAGAAATGTAGACAAAGCCACTGAATCAAAAATGGAGAAACTTTTGAAGTAGTGAATGTTCTATTGTGTGTATTCTCACTGTGATAGTTGGAGCTGTGGGTCAACTTGGCTGGACCACAATTCTGTGTGGTTTACGCAATTGTGATGTGGGTTATTCCCATGATGGGATCAGATGTATATGTTTTGAGCAGCTAATCCATTGAAAGGGAGTTTCCCCAGGGGTGTGGCCTGCTTCCGATATATTTATGGACATCCTGGGAAAAGAGACACTGTTCTGTGGATCAGGATCCTGTTGTGCTACCTATAACTGTCTGTGAGCTAACAATCCACCATTCGGCCTGGAGATCTTGGATTCGACGTTCACTGGCATCAACAGCCAGTATGCTGCCTGCCAAGCTTAAGCTCCTCAGCCCCTGCAGCTGCTAGAGTCAGGAAAAGCCTCCAGCTTGATCCAAGAACTTGGGACTTGCCAGCTTTTATAAGTGTGTGACCCATCCTAAGATAAATTTCTCTTTCTCTATACGCATACATAAGCTTTACTGGTTTTACTTCTCTAGAGAACCCAGCCTAAAAGACGCACCAAAAAAACTTTTTTAAAAAATTTGAAAAGGGGGAAAAGAAACAGAATGTGTTTGAGGCTTTAGCAGAAATGACTTTGGTCCTGGTTTCTCCGCTAACTAGACACGAGTCTTCCAGAAGGACCCTCAACCTCTTTACACCTTAGTTTTCTCGTCTTCAAAATGAGCGGGGCTTCCTTTCCAGCACTGAATTTTGGACTCTTTGATTCTAACTAGTCTTTACTGGTCGACAGGTTATCAGAGTAAGTGTTTCAGTTGATGGAGGAAGGTGGAGGGTCTGCAGGAGACCCTGCACACGGGAGAAAAGTGGCCTGTACACAGGGACCACCGATCCAGGTTTGAACTGAACAGGAACTGCGTGAACGGGGATGGAGTCACGTACAGGCCAGACTACAAACTCCGATGAGGCAGGTCAGAGATAGGGAGCACTGGCTCATGAAAGTTGCCTGCATGGCATCAAGGCCAGCGGAAAAGGAGCGGTTTCTCCCATTAGGCACACCCACTGTCAGCTGTTTGGGAAGAAGGAGCTGAGAGGAAAAGGTCCCAGAAATCTCTGCTGTTCAAGAGTTGGCTGAAGAAGGGATAACTAAGGAGGAAGCACATTACTCTATTCAGAGAACTGACCGGTCCCTTACACAGGACGAGATTATTCAGACGCTCCATCTCTGTGCAGAGAAGGACAACGTCGTGCAAAGTGGGAGGGGCCAGGAGGTGCATTACCAAAGAGGGAACTATCTCATGGAAAATTTTATAAATTCTGAAGCAACTGACTCAAGGAAATTATATTTTCCACTCCTAAAGTTCCATGAAATTTTGTAATTGTGTGTCTATCAAGGGTGGTTAAAATGCACTTCTGCCAGGGACTAATTGCCCACTTAAATTCCCTTCAACTCTATGACTTACGATGGATGGATGGATGAATGGATGGATGGATGCAAGGGACGCAGACAGGCCAGCTTACAACTTAGTGATTGCCCCCAGTTACCTAAAATGGCAAGCAATTAGTCTCCCCACTGAAACTTGATACACTATAAAATTATTACCATCAAGATTCCTACTTATTGGCATTATCACATTTTTACTATTTCATGCACACAGGAGTGTACTTTCAAAAATACATTAGTTCTCTGCATGAGACAGGGAGATTATACAGAGAGATATAGCATCGACTGTACCAACTCAAGCATAGCTGTCTTTCGTTATCACAACACAAGACTGAGTTCACGAAGCCTGTTGTGGTTGTTGAGTGCCGAAAAATCAATTCCAACTCACCGTGACCCCATGTGACAGAGCAGGACTGCTCCACAGGGTTTTCTAGGCTGTAAATGTTTTGGGACCAGATCACCAGATCTTTCTCCCAAAGAGCTGCTGGTGAGTTTTAACTGTCCACCATTCAGCTGTCAGCTGAGCATTTAACCACTGTGCCACCGAGGCTTCTTAGCTGATAGGTGGAGTTGTTATTGTGTGTTGTCAAGTCCAACACCTTGTGACCTTATATGACAAAGGAGAGTGGTCCCACTGGGTTTTCTAAGCTGTAATCATTAGGGGAGCAGATGGCCAGGTCTCTCTCCTGCAGAGCCACCACGTGGGTTTCAAGGAAGTCTGGCAACACAGTGGTTAAAGGGTTCAGCTGCTAACTGAAAGGTCAGGGACTTGAACCCACCAGCAGCCCCTCTGGAGAAAAGACGTAGCAGTCAGTTTCTGTCAAGATTTCACCCTAGGAAACCCTTTGGGGCAGTTCTAGTTTGTCCTCTAGGGGCGCTGTGAGTTGGAATTGACTGTACGGCAGGGGGTTTGGTTTCTCATGGGAATCTTTACAGGATCCGACAGTCTCACCTTATGTTCTAACATTTACTCACCTGGAGTTTCCTTTTCTTCCGTGAGAGGCTTCCCGTCCAGTCGCTGATCCGCCGCATTCGAGATTTCAGGGTGTCCTTCTTAGAAGTTTCCTCTGTTAAGGCTTTGGACTTCCGGCAGGGGAGAGTGAAAGAGCTGTACTGGCCGGGGTCCCTGTGCTCCACTCTGGAAGGCACATCGATGTCAGAGGCAAAGGAGACACGGTTGCTGAGGCCGGGGTGCGTGCCAATGTACTCATCAGAAAGCCGGATCCCCGAGGAAGGGTACAGGTCCCGGAGTGAGGAGAGGGAAGCACTTTGGCTGAAAGGCTTTTTGGCATCACCTGGGGGGAAGCTGGCATGGAGGCTGGGGTCAGGGGTGCTAGGGGCCAGGAAGGAGCCCTCTAGTTCGCTCATCTCCCCAGCGTTGCCCCATGGGGAGTCATACCAGGACGACTCAGAACTCAGGGAGCTGCCTTTACTGGACCGCAGGCGAGAGTCTGTAGGAGAAAGGCGATGGCCGGACGGGTACTCGGTGCTAGAGCTCCTCCTGGCGTCAGGCCCATGGGAGGTGTCTGACTCTAAGGCAGGCGAATATCTCAGCAGCTGCACGGGTCCCCTGGTGCTCTCTGTAGGCACTTTGCTGTGGTTGGCACCGTTGTGAAATTCAACCCTTAAACACCCATCCAGCTTCCCCAGTGTTTTGATCAGCACCTTGGGGCTCTTCCGGTCTTCACCTGGTGGAGTGGACGCAACACTCTCATTCTTCCCATAGCAGTTGAGGAGGTGTCCGTTGCAGTCGTGAGAGGGGATAAGGTGATCTGCTGACTGGTGGCCAGAATAGTGGACACTGTTCTCAGGGCAGAAAGCAGCATTATTGCCCTGGGACTCGTTCCCTGAGGCATTTGTCCTGTGCTTGGAGTAGCCAATGCCTTTGGATGCTTTGCAGGTGGGTCCACTGAGCCTGGATGCATAAGGCTGGTTAGTCTTGAAGTGAGAAAGGCAGCTGCGGGCTAGGGACCTGGACTTGTAGCTCGCCCCACTGCTCCCGTGACCCCACCCATGCAATGACTTCTCATCCTTGGCGTGGAGGCTGCGGATTTTCAGGGAGCAAGGCTTTTGTTTAGCACCAGGAACAGCAGTGCTGTGGTTTTTAGATCCTTGAAGGGTGTACTGACTCTCGGAGTTCCCCATTTGAACCTAAATGAAGAATAGTTGCATCAGTAAGAGCCATGACCTCCGTCACCTTCCATGATGACAGAACTTTCTAAAAACAAATGTTCTGCACATGACAGGGGATACAAGCAACTCCCTCCTGTGTCCGACACAACTCGAGGAAGTAGGCACAGAAGTTACTCCAGGCCTGGTTCTGCCAACCACACACAGCTGGCTACTGGCCTGACAGACGATATCGCACATTCACCTGATAGGTTTTTTTAACACTTCATTTGTTGTAACATGTTAATTGAGAAATCAAACAAGTACAAAATCCATTTAAGGTATAGACTTACTTAAGTCTTGTGGTGTGAGGCTTTGAACTAGTGGTTGTTACAGAGAAAAACGAGGAAAAACTATCTTTACTATCAGTCCGAACACACTGAGGGTTCACTCAGCATACGCACTGAGTCATACAATGCATTTGAGTCCAAATGCACTGCATGATTAAAAGCAAAGAACTGTGGCACTGACTCGACTCTAACTCATGCCAGCATCATGTGTCACAGGAGCATTGTGTCCACAGGGTTTTCAAACGTAGATTCCTGCATTTTCAGAAGTGGATCACCAGGCCTTTCTTCTGAGGCACCCTTGTGTGGATTCAAACCTCCAACCTTATGGTGAACAGCTGAGCACATTAACCATTTGTACCACCCTGGGGCTCCTTCCTGAGATCAGAGCAATACAGCTCCCCCTGACACCATTACTACTGGGCAGAGCTAACACCCTAACCCGACATCACAGAGAACGCCTCAAAACCTACCATGTGTGTAATGATAGATGATGTTACATGCCAGGTTCTGATGGATATGTTTCACGTATCACACACAGAAGGAATCACAAAAGAAAAGGACTAGAATTCCTCAAAAAATAGGCTGAGGGGGGGAAAACAAAACGAACGTTCAAAGCTTTTCCAAAGACTTTAGGGACCCTCACTTTAGAACATGACAAGAGAAGATGTTTCAGTTGTTTTTTTTTAACTGACCTATTAGAAGGTAGGTATCAGAAAGTACAATAGACTCTTCTCATTCACTGTAAAGTCCTGATCTACTCAAAAAGACAATTATTAGCTATGCCAAACTCAACGTGACACTTGAACCCAAACTCACTCCCTCTGTTTTTCATTCTAACCACCATATCACTATTTTGGGTGATGATTTCAATTAGGTTCCCAAATATGTTTAGTATGTTTTTGTTTTGTTTTTTAAATTTTATTACTTTAATGCTTTTATGCCTAACAATAGACAGTTACACAAGTCAAATTGACTGACTTTTCTTTGGTGGCAGTTATCAGACATTTTAAATCCCAAATCACTGGAAAGAATAATTAAGCCTCACTTTATGACCTTTATCACAGTCATAAAACCTGACAGGAACCACAGCCCAGCTTGGATTTACCTCAGGATAATTTCTGCTATGAGAGAGATTAGCAGTCAGCAGGCTTTACATGGTCTTGAGAACCAGGCAGCACATTTAACACACACGGGAAGTGAGTCCATGAACCGATCCTGGAAAACAAACACAAGAAAACATTGTCAAGCATTTTATACCCAGCTCCCTAAAAGTTCAAAAATGAAGGCTTCATGTCAATCCTGGGAAGAAACAACAGTTACCCCGAACCACTGTCCCCACACTAAATAAAAGTCTGTGACATGCTTGAATCACCAGGGTTGATGGAGGATGTGAAAGAAGCCAAGGGTCCCGCTCCAGCCTTGAAAAGGCAGTTGTCACCTCAAAGCAGAGAAGAGCCAGCCCCAGCACTGCAGCCAATGGCATGGCTTTGTCCCAGGGAGACTGTGAAAGTCTGCTATGAGTCATGGCTGATCTGTCACCACCAGGAGGAAAACAACGTCAGCCTCTCCCTGCTGACAACTTGTAGGAGCATCACCCTGACTCAGTAAGAAGTGGTCATTGCTCTGTTTGAGTGAGGGGTAAGGACAGAACCCAACATTGACAATCAAGGTGAAAGAGCCTTTGGCTGAAATAACTTAGGTTGCAGAGGCTGACCCCATAAATGAGATGGAAAATTTTCAGCACATGACTGTGAACTGACTCAAAGGTGAAAGGTCCCTGGCCACATCCTCTCAGAGCCTCTCTGTTGGCCCATGCACACAGCATTGGGGTCAACTCCCCACCACCAGCCAGATAAAGCCGCCATTGAGAGGCCAACCATGCCAGCGGCTCAGACATACAAGGGCCGTGTCTCAGAGCACTGAGATGCTCCTAGTAGGTATCTTACGCTCCAGGGCTGGTTTTCCCTTCAACTGCTCTTCCTACTTCTGAAATTAATAGCATAATGTTTTGTTTCATGTTTATGTTTCAAAAAACGTAACACTAGACTCTGTTCTTCAGTAGACTCTGTTCATGCATGGCCTGAAACTTGGCGTCATGGGACGTGCTCCATAAACACCTACTGAATTGAATGGCACGTTAAAAGGTTGATGTGGGCCCTGACTCTGGGGTTGGCTGAGAGACTGGCCCATGAACTCATGAGGAGATGTTTTGATAATTAAGACGGTACAGTCTGGAGAAAAGAAGAAAGCAGATGACAAAGGTGGGTCACAATGTGAACTTCTACAGATGGATACTGCTGGCCAGTGTTCAACAGCTTAGTCAACTCTGCAGAAAGAACACAGCCTTCAACGGCAGCACCAAGAATGCATCCAATATTGTTGAGGAACATACTGACAGGAAGGGTAGCCTCCTACCCCCGCGGGAACCCGTGGAATCATGGTCCCTGAGGGGCACGACTAATTGAACAGATATTTATCCGTCAGGATCCAGCTGTGGTTCTCATCTGCAAGCAGGAGACTAGATGAGAGGGGCCTTCGGCACCCTCTACCTCCACGCTCTCATAAAGGGAATTTTCTGGCATCAAGTTAAAAACTGTCGGTGATAGAAAGAAGGTATTCAAACATTAGACTTCTTCTGAGCTCTTTAAAAAAGAAAAGGAAGAGCTAAGTCCTCACTGACTTTGAACAGCAGAAACCCATAGTAGGCAGAGGAAACCTGCACTGCGCACAGGCCACTTACATAGTCAGCCTGGCTTAGAGGATACAGCACCGAGAGTGGGGCCTGGCTTAGACGACACGGCACCGAGAGTGGGACGAGTTAGCAAATAGCGCACACGGCACACTTACTGCCACACTTGCTGCTGCCAGGTCAATTCCGACTCAGTGACCCTGTAGGACAGGGTGGCTGCCCTGTAGGGTGTCCAAGGCTGTCATCTTTACAGGAGTAGACTACCACATCTGATGAGAGGCCAGAGTGGCTGGTGGGTCTGAAATGCCAACCTTTTGGTTCATGACTGAGTGCTTTAACCACTGTGCTCCCAAGACTCCTTATGCTTTATAGATACTATCTAAAAATTGTTTTATTTGTTGTTTAATTATAATGAAAGGAGCTCTGGTAGCATAGTGCCTAAGGCACTTGACTGCTAACCAGAAGGCTGGCAGTTCAAACCCACCAGTCACTCCTGGGAAGGAAGGCTGGGCAATCTACTTCCGTAGTGATACTGCCTCGGAAACCCAAGGAGGGGTCGCTATGAGTCGGGTCCGACTCGAGGGCACATAACAACAACAACAATTATAATAAAATATTGGAATTAAAAAAAAAATTATTACGTTCCCACAAATCTAAAAAGAATAAACAAACTTTTCTTTCTTCTACAACCCCTTCCACTCCCCATATGAATTTATCCACATAAATGTGTCAGGTAGCTTTTTAAAAAATCACAAACTAGAATGAAGATTTTTTTCCTTTTTTTTCAAATCGTGAGCAATCGCCGTACCAAGAATGTCCGGCAATGTGGAGGAATTCCTTAAACACGTCACAGCGATCCCACAGCCACTGTGGCCCAGAGTCCCAGAGGAAAAACATCCTCCCGGAGAAATCACAAGATCGACCTGCTCCTCATTTATCTTCAGCCTGGGTTTGAATTGCCGCATCAGAATCCCAAAGACTCCACTTCCAGGCAGTGGACAGTGGATAGCAGAGCAAACCAGACTTTCCCACTCAGTATCTGCCTTGGGCGGAAGGAGGCCCTGAGAGCCAGCTGTCCAGATGGAGCAACCACATGAGAAGAGGAGGAAACTGCCCGGAGGCCAGTGGGGCCATGAGGCCAGGCCCCGGAGAGGCTGCAGCTGACGGGTGAAGGCCTGTAGAAGTGAGGCGCGTGCCCCTGCACAAAAGCAGAGTCAACAGGGCACGGCTGTTCCGGAAGTTCGGAACTCCCACCCAGAAACGCCAACAAGGCCTTTTCGTAGAATCCCAGAGACTGTTCTACTGAAATGGTCCCATGATTTCAAGGCAAACACTTGAGAGATGGGAAGAGGAAGGAATACCCACCCCTAACCTGAGCAATATCTACTGGGATCTCCTCCTTAGGGGAAAAAGGGGTGAGGAGAGCTGCATTAGGGGACCTGTCCTGAATCCTACTTTGATTTGTGTCAGTGAACTTGGGCTTAAGACCTGCCTTCTCTGAAACAGCATCTGGACTAAAGGTTCAACACTTATACTTTCTGAATTCCGCTGCCCCCAGTTTACAAACTGAGGATAAAAATACCTGCCCTACCTACCTCCTAGACTGAGAATCAAATGTGAAAATATATGTGAAATCACCCAAAAACTCTGTGAAATGCCAGCCAGGACTCCATGTTAGCATTAATTTTAATTATAAGTTGAAGTTTGTGTACTATGACATCAAAAAAAAAAAAAACTCAGTGCCTTTGAGTCAGATACAACTCATAGCAACCCCTCCTTGGGTTTCTGAAGTGGTATCACTACGGAAGTAGATCACCCAACCTTCCTTCTGAGGAGTGGCTGGTAGGTTTGAACCGCCAGGCTTCTGGTTAGCAGTCAAATGCCTTAGGCATCTTATTATAACAGACTTCAGGTTTTTTCCAAGAAGCAGAATAAAGTTTATTAGTGAGACTGTATATAAAAATTAGACACACACACACACACAGGTTGTTGTTGTTGTTGTT